GTGGCAATCTATCATTGTGGTATACTGCCATTATGGTATAGAGAGCCTAGAATTTTGGCGCTTCTGCAGATCAGGGACTCAGAGAAGGTGTTGCAAATACAGTAAGCAGCTCGTGTACTGGTGCAGTTTACTGTCATTATGGTATAGTGCCTTGTGGTATACTGTAATTGTAGTATACTGTCATTGTGGTGTAGTGTCAATATGGGATAGTGTCATGTGGTATAACGTCATTGTGGTATAGTGTCATTGTGGTAAACTGTCATTGTGGTATAGCGTCATTGTGGTATAGCGTCATTGTGGTATAGCGTCATTGTGGTATAGCGCCATTGTGGTATAGCGTCATTGTGGTATAGCGTCATTGTGGTATAGCGTCATTGTGGTATAGCGTCATTGTGGTATAGTGTCATTGTGGTATAGTGTCATTGTGGTATAGTGTCATTATGGTAAACTGTCATTGTGGTATAGTGTCATGTGGTATAGCGTCATTGTGGTATAGCGTCATTGTGGTAAACTGTCATTGTGGTATAGCGTCATTGTGGTATAACGTCATTATGGTATAGTGTCATTATGGTAAACTGTCATTGTGGTATAGTGTCATTGTGTTATCCTAACATTATGGTATAGTGTCATTATGGTATAGTGTCATTGTGGTATACTGTTATGGTGGTATAGTCATTGTGGTAAGATCATTGTGGTATACTGTCATTGTGGTATAGCCATTGTGGTATAACCATTGTGGTATAGCCATTGTGGTTTAGTGGCATTATGGTACAGTGTCATTATGGTATACTGCAATTGTGGTATACTGTCATTATGGTATAGTGTCATTGTGGTATAGTATCATTGTGGTATACTGTCATAATGGTATATTGTCATTATAGTATACGGTCATTATGGTATAGTGTTACTGTGGTATAGTCATTGTGGTATAGTGTCATGGTGGTTTAGTGTCATAGCGGTACAGTGGCATGGTGGTATACACATTGTGGCATACTGTCATTGTGGTGTTTTGTCATTGTGGTAAAGTTTCATTATAGTATAATTCATTGTTTGATAGTGTCGTTATGGTATAATGTCATTACCGTATACTGTCATTGTGGTAAAGCTTTTTTGTGGTAAATAGTCATTGTGATAATGTGTCATTGTGGTATAGTGTCATTTGGTATAGTGTCCTTATGGTTTACTGTTACTGTGGTATAGTCATTGGGGTATAGTCATTGTGGTATAGTCATCATTGTAAAGTAATTGTGGTGTATTGTCATTAGGGTATAGTGTCATTATGGTATAGTGTCTCATGGTATACTGTTATAGTCGTATACTGTCATTATTGTATAGTGTCATTTTAGTATAGTGTTATTATGGTTTAATGTCATTATGGTATATTGTCATTGTTGTATACTGCCATTATGAAATAGTGTCATTGTGGTATACTGTCATTGTAGTATAGGTCATTATGGTATAAATATGATTATTTTCATTGTGGCAAAGTGTCTTTAGGGTAAACTGTTTTTCTGGTACAGTGTCATTATGATATAGATAGCGTTACTGTCATTTTGGTATATTGTCTTACTGGCATACTATCAATAAGGTATAGAGTCATTGTATTATAATGCCATTATAGTAAAGATCGCAATACTGTCAATGCGGTATAGCGTCATTGTGGTAATCTGTCATTTTTGTAAAGTCTTCGGGGTATACAGTAATTCTGGTGTAGTTTCATTATGGTATACTGCCATAATGGTATACTGTCATTGGGCTGTAGTCATTGTTGTATACAGTCATAATGGTATACTGTCATAGTGGTGTAGTCATTGTGGTATACTTTCACTGTGGTATAGTCATCATGGTATTCTCTGATTGTAGTATACTGTTATTATGGTACACTGTCATTGTGAAAATGTCATTGTGGTACACTGTCATTATGGTATTGTTTGATTATGGTATAGAGTTGTTGTCAAATGCTGTCATTATGGTATAATGTCATTGTGGTATAGTGTCATTGTAGTATATTGGCATTATGGTTTAGTGTCATTATGGTATACTGTCATTATGGTATAGTGTTATTGTTGTAAAATGTTATTATGGTATAGTGTCATTATAGTAAAGTATCATTGTGATATAGTGTCATTATGGTATAGCGAAGTTACGGTATACTGTCATTGTGGTAAAGTGTTATTGTGGTTTACTGTCATATGGTAAAGTGTCATTGTCATATAATATCATAATAGTAAAGTGGCATTATGGTTTACTGTCATTGTGGTATAGTCATTGTGGTATTGTCGTTATGGTATAGTGCCATTATAGTATAGTGTCCTTAAGGTATTGTGTTATAGTGGTTTACAGTCATTATGGTATATTGTCATTGTGGTGTACTGTCATTATGGTATAGTGTCATTATGGCATACTTTCAGTGTAGTATACTGCCATTATGGTATTAATAGCATTACTGTCATTGTAAGTAAAGTAAAGTAAAGTAAAGATCCCTTTACACGCCCTTAGCCGCAACGGGCATATGGGAAGAGCACCCATATTTTTACACACCAATCGGCACTCGGTGGGTAATGTGGTCAGCATTACGCCGGCCGTCTTTACTTTCCCAGGACAGCCCAACCTGGTACCCATTTGAGGCTGGGTCGACCTGCGACGTCCCATATCACGATAAAAATCCACGCAGCACACACAGGTTTCGATCGATGTACGTTGGATTACGAGTCAGACTCGCAACGATTTTAGCCACGGACGCCACTGTCATTGTAGTATAGTAAAATTGTGGTAAACTCTATTGTGGTACAGTGTCATTGTGGTATACTGTAATTATGGTAAAGTTTGATTATGGTATAGTGTTGTTGTGGTATGATGTCATTATGGTTATGTCATCGCAGTATAGTTTTATTGTGGTAAAATTGTATTATGGTATAGTGTCATTACAATTATTGTCATTGTGGTATACTGTCATTATAGTATAGTATTATTGTGATATAGTGTCATTTTGGTATACTGTCACTGTGGTATAGTGTTACTGTGGTATACTGTCATTATGGTATAGTATCATTATGTTATAGTGTTAAGGTGCCATACTGCATTGTGGTATAATCCTTGTGATATTATGTCATCATAGTATTGTGTAATTTTAGTATATTGTCATTTTGGTATACTGTCATTATGTTATACTGTTATCGTGGTGTAGTCATTGTGGTATACTGCCATTATGGTATAGTCGTTATGGTATTCTGTGAGTGTAGTATACTGTTATTATGCTACACTGTCATTGTGAAAATGTCATTGTGGTATACTGTCCTTAAGGTATAGTTTGATTATGGTGTAGTGTTGTTGTGGTATGCTGTCATTAGGGTATAATATCATCGTGGTATAGTGTCATCATGGTATACTGTCATTATGGTATGCTGTCATCATGTTAAACTGTCATTATGGTATAGTGTTTTTGTTATAAAATGTTATTATGTTATGGAGGGATTATAGTATAGTGTCATTTTGGTATACTGTCATTGTGGTATAGTATCATCATGGTATAGTGTCAATGTGGTATACTTTCATTGTGGTATTGTCATCGTAGTATGATCCTTGTGGTATACTGTCATCATAGTATATTATTATTTTAGATTATTGTCATTGTGGTATACTGTCATAGTGGTGTACTGTCATTATGGTATACAGCTATTGTTGTATAGTCATTGAAGTATAATCCTTGTGCTTTACTCTAATCATAGTATAGTGTAATTTTAGTATTTTGTCATTGTGGTAAAGTGTCATTATGGTATATGTTCATTATGGTATAGTGTTAGTGTGGTATACTGTCATTGTGGTATAGCGTCATCGTGGTAAACTGCCATTGTGGTAGACTTTCATAGTGGTATACTGTCGTTGTGGTATACTTCTATCGTGGTATACTGTCATTGTGGTATAGTGTCATCGTGATATACTGCCATTGTGGTATACTTTCATCATGGTATACTGTCATTGTGGTATACTTTCATCGTGGTATACTTTCATTCTGGTATATTGTCATCGTGGTATACTGTTATCGTGGTAGTCTTTCATAGTTGTATACTGTCATCGTGGTATACTGTCATCGTGGTATTCTGTCATCGTGGTGTACTGTCATCATTGTATAGTTTTATCGTGGTATAATGTAATTATGGTATAGTGTCACTGTTGTATACTGTCATTGTGGTATCTTGTCACTGTGCCACACAACCCCATGATCCTCAGAATGTTATTGTAGTATATTGTCATTATGATATTTTGTCATTATTTTTGTGGTATACTGTCACTGTGGTATAGTGTCATAGTTGTATACTGTCACTGAATTATCTTGTCACTGTGCCATACATCCCTATGCTCCTCAGAGCAGAAGACAAACAGGTATTATTGAGCTCTGTGGTGTGCACCATATGGGGCTAGCAGTCGTCACAATTTTCATTTCATTTCGTGCGATTTTGTGTCAGTCAGTCAGTAGCTTGTCCTTTGCAGAAGATTGCCACCATATCAACCCTCCGGAAATCTTTTCGATCACAAGGAAGCTGTCCCACATCCGATACACCCATCTACAGACCATCCACCACATCCTGCACCCATCTACAGACCATCCACCACATCCTGCACCCATCTACAGACCATCCACCACATCCTGCAACCATCTTCTCTTTGGCCTTCCTCTTCCTCTCTTCCAAGGCATGTACCCCTCCGATATTGTTCTCTTTAAACTTTAGTGACGTTTCGATTGACCAAAATATTTGTTTTCACTAATGTAATTTTGTGTAAGGAGAAGAAACAGAGGAGGAAGAGAACGAAGAAGAAAAGGCTACCTTAAAAGAAGATCATTCTTCAAAAGCGATTTGCTTAAATAATTGCAACGTCACAGTAAAAATAAAGAGTAAAACCTCTTCAGTATGTTTATTTATTACACTGCCATATATATACGACAGTTTTTCATTGCTGAAGTTACTGGGAGACGGCTCCGCACAACGAAAGGTTTAGACCGTGTACCCTACTTGGCATTCAGTTTGGCATGCCGTGATGTTATCAAACCTGTTTTCATTGCCACCACATCCTCCAAAAACAAAAAATTCACACTCCTTAGATGTGGAATTGTAAAAATACCGTGGAAAGTAGGCAAGGCACATTCCCGTCTCTGGTGGCAAGTCACAGATCGACGCTGAAAAAATAAATGGCACAATTTTTATTTATACATGAACTAGACAGGAGAGGGCGAAAATGACATTTGAGAGACAGGGTGAGATGAGAGACGGAGATTGATGTAGTTCCCTAATCTATTATATATATATATATATATATATATATATATATATATATATATATATATATATAATATATAATATATATACATATATATATACATACTTATTTATTTATTTCTATGTGGCCTGATTATTTTGTTTTAATTCTCATCTTTCTGAAGTCATTCATGCCCTAATACTACCATTTATGCACATGCTGATTCAACTCATGCCGGCTTGAGTAAAGGTTAAGGGGAAAAGGAGAGGGAGGGGGGGGGGGTCAAAAGCTAAATTTGTCTGATTAATTATTAATTGTATGCATCCTGAGTGACGAACTGTGTAAGATAAAATGAGATAAAATATACTCCTGAAACATCATCCATATAGACTAGAAGTAATTGAACGATATGCCAGAATAAATAATATACAGCTTTATACATTATTCAAACACATTTCGATGATCCAACAAGTGAGGAAAAGACAGGCTTTGGATAAGACACACGCACGTAAAGCCTAACATTAAACTAAAAGACGAATGGGTGCATTTGTCTATTGTCTTGAACTTTAGTATCACAGTTCTGACCACCCTTGACAGAAGCTGTAGGAAACAGATCCCTGGTATAGTGGACACATTAGTCAAAACGTTGAGGGATGACAACAAAGATGTCAGTGATGCTGTTGTTTACACGGATGGATCGGTCACCCGGGGTAAGTGAAGTGCATGGGCGTTTACTGAGAGAGCAACGAGAACAACCGTTATGTGGCTTTTACTGTTGCAATCACAGCAGCTTCACAGTTATGACAGTGGCTGCAGCAAAGGTTTTGGAATGGCTGGGAACTTAAGAATTCACATATACTTGCAAACTGAGCAATTCACATCGCAGGTCGACCTAGCCTAAAATGGGTACCAGGATGGCTGTCCTGGGAAAGTAAAGACAGCCGGCGTATTGCTGACCACATAACCCCCCTAGTGCCGATTGGTTTGTAAAAATATGGGATGCTCTTCCTATATGTCCGATGCGCTTAAGGCGCAGAAAGGGATCTTTACTTACTGAGCGATTCAATGAATATGCTGACGAAAATCCAGGCTGGCTTTATCAGATAAGAATGGATTCTCTGATCAAATGCACCACGAATAACTCACCCAACCTTTATCTCTGTGCGTGGCAGTGTAGGTGTTCAAGGCAATAAGCATGCAGATTATCTGATGGACAAGGCGGTTACCACTACCGGCTCAGAACTTGACAGGAGCGATGAGATTAATGCCATGCAAGCTGCATATCGTGAAGAAAATCCTAACATCAAGCAGATTTAGTTTCCTCGTCCAGGTTGATTGACATAGACGGTGCAAAATGGAAGAGCTAGACATGATCATTTAACCTATGGCACACGACTCTGATTAATCCACACAGAATGGGTGTGACAAATCGTTTTACTCTTGTGGAGCTGCGGATGAGGTGATCAGACCACCTATAGATCTGACCGAACTGATGTGATGACAGTCCTCTCTAATCACTAACACCTGAGAACAATCTAACTAGAAGTTCCTTTCACTGGAACCCACTGAATCAAAGTTACTGTTCTCTGTGTGGGTTCTGGGACCCTATTATAGGAAAAACAAGAATAGACCTACTGCCTACCAAAAAGCATGTCGTAAGAGTCGACTAATAGGGAGCTTCCTTCGAAGTCGGAGTTCATCTGCCTGAGAGGCAATGAACCAACAGTAGCACATAAATGTGTCAGATCTGTCAAACGGATGCACACGCAACACACAGGTTCTGGAACAGGACTGCAGTCCAGAAGTGGATAAACAACCAGAACTTACAACCAGAGTTTACAGCTGGTGATCGCATAGAAGAAGAATGTAACTGTTATGACTTTCCTGATATTTATACATTAAACATTTGTCTCTCCCCTTATTGTCTCATTTGGATATATGATAGAAATCTGCTAACACTAAAAAAATTGTCCCTAATAAATATACTTGTGTGTATAAAAACTACAAAAAATATTTTTCGACTGCCTGTGTGAACATTATCATCAACATCATAAACAGTTACTACTTCTGGCGCTAAGCGACATGGAAAGGAACAGTTTGCGTTCCATTGCGATCTATTATATCATCAATCCATAATCTTCAAGGGCAGCCTCTTGCTTTCGGGTAATATCATTTCATATGTAGGCCTGCGTTGGTTGCTGTTCTGGCTGCATTCTCACTAGATGATCAAATCATTTAATCTTCTGTTTCCTAATGCATTTGCTACATGGTGTTGTTCCTACAGCCTGTCTGATAATATTATTCCTAACGTTGTCTCGAATTGTTAAAATGGCGGCTTTTCTCGTGCATCTTATTTCACGGGTGTTAATTTTACTTAGGTTAGCCTTTGAAATGTTTATGTCTGACACTCGTAGCCAAGTACATGTGTGATATGTTGTTTATAATCTGTTTCTTGGCGCTCATACTTATCTGTGGATGTCTTAATAACGGTCTCCATTGGGATATGTGCACTGGCTCGTTGGCATCTTGATTATATTTCCCGATCTGTTCTCTCGTCCTTCGACAGTATACTTCTGCGGTATACTTCTGCGGTATTTACCATATTTTACTTTCTTCAGACAGGTACCATTTAAACCGATATATTGCAGCCTAGGAATTCTTTGATCTGCATTTTTGCAATTTAGTAGGATTTATTTTCATATTAAATCTTGTGCATGTTGAACTTTGAATTTTCATGTGTTCTTGCTGTCTACTCCACTGATTGAAGAACTGGCGCTGACCATCAGCAAATAGTAGCTCATTCTGTACGGATCTAACTCTTTCCTAAGAAAACAAATTTTATCCTTTTCTGGAGTTTGTTTTCTAACTGCTTCAGAGTTTAATATTCTATCTATGTATACAGTAAATAGAAGAGGAGAGAGCACACATCCCTACCTTACTCCTATATTGATTGAAAAAATATCAGATATGCCTTCTTGTGTTCTCAATGCGCTTTGAGAAGTGTGGTACATGGCCGTGATGTTTTCTATATCTCTTTGCTGACATATTTTAAAGAAAAATGTGCCCGGCTCGCTAGCACAGTTGGTTAAAAGCCTTTGCGAGGCGACCGGGTGACGAACTCCTTGTGGTCCACATTCGCGCCCGGGGGTAGGCAGAAAAGCCACATGTCTCCCAGATTTACGGTATATGCATACGTTATTTATATGGTTGCAATATTCATAGTACCGAACCACAGGGTTCACAACTCATAGTTTCTGGAAACTTAGAAAAACTAAATGTTTGAATACCATATAGTGAAAGGCACAATGATTACTCTGTGCTACTTACAAGGCTGATTTCCAAGGGCTAGCACACAGAGAACTCCCAAAAGTAGCACACAACATACAGCTTTCATGTTGGAAGATCAAGAACGCTGTCTATTCTGTGGTGGGAATCTTTGCAGTGAGATTTCGTCAGCTGGATTCTACTAGGCTTTCGATCAGTCAGTTGGTAGTTATCTGGTGTATGGCTTTGTTATCGTACTGTTATTTTTCTCTACCAGGTATGTTCTCATATATAGCCACATGTTATAATTAAAGATACAATTTATTTTATTGCTCAGTGAGCGTACCGTTGTTTTTACCCCATGACTGTCAGGCACAGACAGATTACTCACTGGAAATACACTGACTGCAGCGACCAGCATGTACTGAAACAATGAGAATAGCTGAATATGTTACTGGAACCCGCACAACAATTATCTCCCGCTCGCGGAGCAGTTTTTTTTTTCTGACAAGAGGCCCCAAGGGGCTTGAAGCCATACCTAAATGAGCAATTATGTATATAATTAATATTATTATTGTTAAAAAGTTCTGAATTGCAGATATGTATTTGTAAATATAAATAAAAATATATATATATATATATATATATATATATATATATATATATATATATATATATATATATATATATGTATTTATATGTAAATATCTTTCTCTTTCTATATATATATATATATATATATATATATATATATATATATATATATATATATAAATGCTTGAGACATTCCCATACGTGATCCCTTCCCTTCTCCAGTAACCAATGAAGAGTTAACACGCTATTGATATCAGTTTCAACCTTATTAAAAGTTCAGTACTGAATATCTTTCAGAACGTCTCTACTCACCTAGCGTTGAATTCGTCCGTCAGTGTGCCCTATGCCCTATCTGTCATTATCCATTTAATCGCATGGAGCTTTCACCAAATCCGCTTTGACCAGCGACAGCAGCTAACCTATCAGCCTGTCCGTTAACTCGCACACCTGAATATCCTGGACAGAAAATAAAGGATGTTTTTAATTTGGGTTTTATCGAGTGATGCAAGCCACTTTGATCGCAGGACACCAGTTTCAATTTTTCAGAGGATGCTCTCAAGGTCTGGTACAATCACAACATATTCGGTCTACTCTGTTCTCAAGCCAAAAAGTGACGTTGTACGTCAGGATGTCTGTACAGTGTCTATTCACCTTTGTGATAAAATCCTGCACACTCCTTTTATCTCCCACAAGAGACCCATCAGTATATATTATGAGGGATCTTTCCTACTGAACAGAGAGCTGTGTAGTCTCGATGCATGGTGTCCGCCTCGAGTGGTAGAGGTTTAGCTGTAAATCCCCGGTAGGGTTGGGATTTTTTCACGTGGACATGGGACTTCTAGTAATTCCCCCCCCCCCCCGGTTCTCTAGGTAGCGAGATCAAACGTCGATGTGTAATGTTGCAAAAAAAATCTCTTGGCAGTTGGGATTCGAAAAGAATAGCGTAACGGCGCTGCCCCTGAAAACATTAGAGCTAAAAATCCACCCCAAGTATTTCAAGATTCTCGCCGTTGCTACAGAGACAGTGCACTGTGCTGAGCTTCTTTGGACTCAGACTTGAGTTGGAAAAGGACGGAGCAATCATGGAAAACCTAAACCCTCAGAACTCAAACCTTAAACAGCAAACCTCAGACCTCAAACCTCAAACCTCAAACCTTAAACATCAAACCCCCTATTGATATGCTGTGAATGCTCGCCTGTGGAGTTCGTGTTACTGACGTTACACGGGCGTGAATTTTCGTCATTAGCCACTGCACTGCTGACTGTTTCACCAATTATCCATTACTGGTGCCTTTATATTGGTGCAGTCAAAGAAAACTAAAGGGCCATTTCTCTACATCAGGCATAAAATACCTTGGTCTCGTCTTGTCGGCGTCTATGGCTAACGCATTGCGAACGCACTTCCTAAAGCCGGGGTGCCGGGTTCAATCCCGGCTGCGGGCACTGCGCCTTGCAATGGTTTCGACAGTGGTATCGAGAAGCTGACCGACAAGAAAGCAATGACAAACTACTGGACATAAATTTGCCTAGAAAAACCACAACAGCTAAAAAATGCTGGGGTAGGTTCTGCAATGTCCTGCAAAGGATACACAACTAACTAACTCGTCCGATAACACGTGTCCAAATAAAGCACAGCAGTAGATTTACTGAGGCCTAGCGTCATGACATAGGTGGGCCCACCTTCCGAGAGTGTTTATGATGGTAGCGGGCCGAAACAATCGTCGACCGAGGATCTTCTACTGATGACCACTAGACTCCCGCTGTGGAGTTTTTCTATTATTATCCAAGACTCAAACCTTCTTCAGACCGTTCGTCGTCGATAGGTGATGTTATCAAAATTATATTGGCCACCTTTACTTTCCATAACTTTATATGGTACCAGATTTAGGCTGGGTCGACCTGGGAGTGAGGGTCATTGTGGACAAAAATCAGCCCCCCCCCCCCTCCCATTGCCGATTTGAACCCGAAACCTCAGACTGAATGCGGAGCGTCTGCACCACCACGGCTTCTTAACACACCCATTAGAAAACGGGAAGGGCCCTTTTTCACACCTTCAGGGTTTTAGGCATATCTGACTAGACCTATATAGGCGGTGGTGGCTTGGGCGTTATGAGTCCGACTCGTAACCTTAACGTACCGTGATCGAGGCCCACTACTGGCTGAGTGGATTTTTATTATTTTTTTTTTTAAAGTGAAGTACATTTATTTGGACAATATCTCTCTCTCTCTCTCTCTCTCTCTCTCTCTCTCTCTCTCTCTCTCTCTCTCTCTCTCTCTCTCTCTCTCTCTCTCTCTCTCTGTGTGTGTCAAACATTACTCTCAGACCGATACCTGAAGTGCTCATGTACATTTCTTTAGAGTAAATATATTGTAATAATAATGAGGGAAAACATGTTGGGAAATGTGATGAAACAGCTTCAAGACAATCTGATATCACAAATGGCTGCTGGTCAGTGACCCAGATCAGAACCCTGGAGCAGACAGGCTCTTGTCCATAAACCTCCGCTTGGCAAAACATAGCCACCACTTGTTGGGTTTATCATTCTGGTCAAAGAATTTGTCCAACAGCCTCACCCCAGTTTCCTGCCTTAGCTGTTGAAGGTACTGCCGCATGGTATCGTCCTCTGCTTTGTTGGCAGTCTTGCTGTACATGGCATTGAGAGGAAACCCTGGCTCTCCCGGAATTGGGAAATTAGAGATCCCAAGGGTGTACATCTTATCTCCCTGGCTTCTTGATGAACATCGCTGTAGCTTCTTCAGGCAATCGCTGATGTACAGGGTGATTTAAATGAGCGTCCTGTCAGCCTCACTCTTGATTTCATAGTTGCGAAAAAAAAAATATTGGCCTTGAAGAAATATATTGCCTCATCTACGATGTCAAATTCGGATGTGTCTTTAAGAGCTGGTCCCTTGTACTGTGTCCGCACAGGCAGCAATGCCATGTTGCCGATAAGCTTAGGAGGGTTTAAAAACGGAGTGATAGGCCGGCATTTTAAATAATGGATGATCCTCTTCCTGCTTGTTGTCTTGTTTTAGTGGTCGAGTCCCGGCCGTTAGTCACACTTCCGGTACACCCGCCGAGGATTTTTATTAAGGTATTGGGCATCGCAGGTCGACCCAGAGTACAATGTTATGATAGTATCGCCTCTAAAGACCACCGGCGTAATGCTGACTACATTACCCACCAAGTGCCGATTGGTCTGTAAAAATATGGGTGCTTCTCCTACACGGTCCGACAATTAAGTAATGAGGCTAATTCTATAAAAATTAAAATAATCAAAAGTTGAAGATATAACCTGTATTTTATTCAAAGTAAGCCCCTTGTGCATTGATACAGCAAGTGGCACGATCTAACAAACACTGGAACAACGACCTCTGTAGTTCTTCTGTTGTTATGGCCCCTAAAGTCGATGTTACGGCCCTGTGGGTGTCATCATTATCGTTAAAGAAGCGTCTTTTCAATCATAACTTTGATTTTGGGAAAATAAAATAATCACAGGGAGACAAATTTGAGCACACTTATTTGGGGGCCAAAAATTATTGTTTTGATGATGTCTCTTGTGTACACAACCCGCTCATGTTTCTGGTCTTCAGACAACGAATGTAGTACAAACCGGCACGCAACTTTTTTCTTGCCTAAATCTTGCACTAAAATGTTATGAATGGTCTCTCTAATAACACCAGATTCATCTGCCATCATCCTTACAGTAAAAACAATGATCTTCTTTTATCCGTTCTCCGACTTTTGCAATGAGTTCATCCTTATGAACATAAATTTGGCGTCCAGGTCTAGGTGCATTAGTAATCATTTGTACACCACTTTTAAATTGTGAATACCATCTGAAAATTTGTGCACGAGATAAACAATTATCCCCATTAACTTGTTGCAACAATTCACCTGTTTAAATGACATTTTTTTTCTTAGTTTTAAAGAGAATTTAATGTTACCTTTTTGCTCCGTTCTGATTTCGTAACAATGCACCTCTGACTAGGTCAACAAAATAGTGGCTTGTTTGTTGTTCGCTTATCGAGTCGCGATAAAAAGTTGCTAGATCATAGATGAAAGTGCTTTTTTAGATTCCATGCTTTGTTTCATTGATGGCATTTTTGTCTTGGCCAAAATAAAATCAATCTCATTACTTAATTGACGGATCTTATTTATACCCGATGCGCCTAAAGGCTTGAAAAGGGATCGTTAGTTTATATTTTATGGGCTGGCCACATAGGCATTGCTGAAGGTAAGAGGTGAAAGGTAAAGCCACAAATGACATAGCTGGTTTGCGAACCTCTTTTAAGGATGTTTAATTCGCATGCACCCTAATTGACATCCAGCACGGTTAATTTTGGAGCCATTTGTTAATTATAAACTTTTGTCTTTATGTTATTTCTTCGTCCTCTGTCATTGGAATGGTAAATGCTACGTTATGTTGTGGTTTACAGCTAAACTGTGATATCTGCGCCTCTCGACATAAAACTTCCGACTTTTGTTAACGACGGGCTTTGAAGAGACACTGAGTATTCTTCCCGCCGCTAATAATGGGGCCTCAGAACCCACACAGTGACTACTCGGATTCAGTCCGAGGACATTCACCCCGAAGGATAAGCTTCTAGTCTCGGCGCTACGGTGTTTCTGTTTTTACTGTGACAGTAGTTGTAAATGAAATATTCAATATACGGATACAAGGCCATAGATTAGGGTGGTAATGTGCAATTATAAAACAAACGGGTATAATCACATTATATCGTTTGATGAGACGTTTACTACTGGACTGTAAGTGCTCAAATATGGAGGCAGACTGGTTGTAAACACATCCGAGTTTCTATGGGACTAATGCGGTCTTGATCTGTTGTTAAAGTGGGATAATTACACCAGTGACCCACAGGGAACATCTGCTATAGCCCAAGCTAGCATCCTGGCCAGTTTTCTGTCAGGTACTCATTAATTGCTAATTATTTACCTATACACATTATAGAATGTACAAAATATCCATCAATGTTCTGTCTTTCCCGGCAAATGTCTGTTCTGTGTTGATCAAAGGTTCTCAAACTGGGTGCCGCGAGCGTATGCCAGGGGTGCCACGGCAGTGATCAAGAAAGGTCGACTAAACATTGTGACATTAGTAAAGAAGGCATGTAAATATTTAAAGAGTTGAAATTTAAGTTGTCTTTCCTCGCCGCTGTCGAAAAGAGCTTGTTGTTTATTGCACATTCAGCCGTGTTTCAGACTGCATAAAATGCCGAGCGTTACGCTAAGAACTCTCCTTGTATTTCTCTTGAGGTGCGACCGGTGCTCTTCCTAAATTAGCTAAGGTACAGCCTATAAGTGAAGTTATGGTTATATTGTCTCAGTGGACACCTCAGAGCCTAAGCCATTCAAGCTGGTCTGCCTCAGTTTGCAGGAAGGCAACTCACGACTAAAAGAAAATCTGAGGAAACCTAAGAAAATGTTATCCTAGCTATCTCACTTTGTTTCGGTTGGGAAGGGCATTGCGTTAACTACCATAGCATTGTTACTAACAGCTGCGTGGTTCCGTCTAAATTACAGAAACATCTTAAATCCAATCAATCTGACAGTACATACATGATAGAAAATCTTCAAATGCCGCGCTTTATATCTTCAGGCAGATCTTCCATGATGGATATAATTTCTAAAAATGAAAATGAAAAGAATATAATGCAAAATGCATACAAACAGTTTTATTTATCGCATTAAAGACACATGAATATAAAATGTGCACATCCCCCCACCCCCCCTTTTTTTTCTCTTAAGTATTTAACGGGTAGGGGTGCAGCGATTTTTTTTTTTTTTTTTTTTGTTTTGTTTTGTTTAGCCTGACACAGCGAAAATAGTTTGAGAACCGTTGGTGAAGATAACGAGAATGGTTATTTATACGATGGTCTCCCCATTTGCACCCCACCGGTTGTAGGTCAATTCCATTGATAAGCTGGTTGGACTAGTTTACCGTGGTCGAGGTTATGGGTGTCGCAGTATGTTGTCTGGTATTTAAGTTTTTATCTCCTAAAAAAAGATGGCATGTGACATAGATTGTATCACTCTCTAGAAGAGTTGTGTGTTTGACCCAGTATCTAAATGTTTTAGAAGTGTTTAAAGCTATGGCATGGTGAAATATACAGCACGCGGTATGAGCGCTAGTGCGAAATATCCCTGTGGCCTTGTGTGAAAGTCGGATTGCTCGAGGCCGACCTGTCAGAGGTGAGGTGGGCAGTAGTTCATCCAGTCAGAAGCGAGCTAGTGTGTAGCGGTGTGTAATTGGGGAGACGAGCGTAACATTCACCACTACTGTAACAGTAACATACTAGTTGTACTCACAACGTACTCTTCCCTCCAGTTGACCACTTCTGTCAGATCGTATTTTTTTTTTTTTTTTTTGGGTTAACCAACATTATGATCCTTTGCTTTACACACATAAAAGTGAGATAAAAAAACAAACATTAGGAATAAAGTGTTAAGTGATGGTAACGGGAAGGTTGAATCTGGTACTCTTCAATAGTGTTTATGAGTAGTTGCCCCTGGTTTATGTCTGTTGTTTTTTTTAAATCACGTTCGCAGGGTTATTTCAGTAGTTAGGAGACTCGCTTTCAAATCCAGCTGCGACTCGCCGCAACTCACTGCCGGTTTTCGAAACCATACGGTTCCTGGGGTTCATCCAGCCTCTAGGTAATGAGTACCAGAGTTAACACTCTGGGGTAAATAGAGGAACGTCGCTGTAGCTACGGACTTGCGTGCAGACGGTGACACAGTCGGACAGTTTCTTATCTGCTGTCCGTACTGGTGACAGAGCACTTATGGTTTATAACCGTGTGCAATGACGCTGGCTCACATCTCCCGACTTCACTTTTGTACTTTTACTTTTTTGTATTTATTTATTTATTTATTTATTATAGGTTTTGGTGCCTCAAGCGTTTAATTGTACATTTTCCTGTATTGTCACACTCAACAGGCGATGTAGAGAAGAGAATCCTGTTGCTGTTAATGCAGAGGTCAACGCTCTCATCGGTGAAAATTCAGACGAAGCAGATGTACTAATCTATACAGACGGATCCGTTATACGCCAAAGAAGAAGCGCATGGGCATTTACAGCACACTCAGCGGGCAGAACAGTCAAAGAAGCCAACGGCGCCTTCTCCATGACAACCAGCAGCATGACGATGGATGTGATGGCAGTGACGCAAGCGTTTGCCTGGCTCGAAACACAAAAATACACCCACACATGTATACTCAGTGATTCAATGAGTATGATCCGGAGGGTTCAGGCAGGTTCAGTGCGAAGACAATGGCTTGAATCACTTCAGAAGTCCACTGTGCGTGGAGTCACCTTTATTTTTGTTCCGGGAGACGCAGGCGTCGATGGAAATGAAAGAGCTGACAGTTTGGCTGGATCCGCTATCACTACTGACGGTCGGCCTATGGATCATGCTGATATTATCAATGCCCTCAGAGAAATGGGAAGGATAGAGGAATTTGGTGGCAGTGAATCCACATCACTCACCAGAATGGCAGACTTGGGAATTAAGATCGGCACAGCAAAAAACGAGACGCACACCGGACACGTCAGAAGACTTGTTAATCAACATAGAACTGGTACTATTAGCCATCAGACGTTGGGGTTCATACTGAGGGGAGGATCTGAGCACCTATGTCCGGAGTGCAATGATGATAACCCAACTAACTAGCTAACTAAGGTTTTGGCTGTTGTGGAAAAAAATGGAGGGGGGGGGGGAGGGGGGAGTGAGTCCACATTATCCTAAAATCCTCGACATTCGCTATTTAGATTTGGAGGCTATCCCCCCCCCCCCCCCCTTTTTTCCATCGCTGGTATTTCCATACAGCAATAGTGAAAAACTGTTCATTTTATTGTTTAACGAATAATGTTATTACTATTCTCATTGTCCACAAAAATGCGGGTCGACAGATGTCGACAGATACTCAGGAAATTATATACGATATCATAAAAATATTTAAACAAAAATATAATGCATTGAGTGCACAATAAAAGAGACATGTCATTAAACACGGCTACAAATGACATATCTGAAAATGAAACGAGGCCAGTTACCTCTATATTAATTCGCGTATGGTACAGAAAATTTCAGAAACGATAACTCCTGTATCTGAAGGTCGAACAGAAAATAAAACTAACCTTCTGTTTACGAGATCTGATTGCCAAGTCGTCTACCACTCTGTGAACAGCTCAGCGATCTTCAAACATGAAAGCAGTATTGTGTGTTCTATTGCTGGGTTTTCTCTGCATGCAAACCTTTACCTCAATCGTCCGTAAGTCTTCTTGTGTTTATTTTTCCTCTATGTTTAATTGCCTTGTACATTGGTTTTTACAACTTGCATTTCGGATTTGGACCTGGCTCTTAGCACTCATTGAAGCATACAACCTGTGGCGGATCAACACCTAATTGGCTGTAGGCTGCCTATCTTGAAGCAAGCGGTAGCTGACCAGTGGCATTCGAAAAAGTCTTCCACCGTCAGAGGCAACCCGTGGCGCCTTCGTCTACACCAACTGGATATGACTTATAACTCGTAACTGCTGCCTCTCGATTTGTTTCCGAGAACGATAAGGGCCAGGGATGAAGTTCCTCCTCTCGATAGCACAAAGCCTGGACAGTATTGTAGAGACCATATGTTGCCCATGTATAATGATTCCTCCCTTGACCTGTCTTGTTTACTCCAAAAGAAAAGTAAAACCAATGCGTTTGGAACAAGGATGGCTGCAGAAGCTGCCGAATCAGATGAGCAGTGCTCTATTTGTCCGTCTGTCGGAGCGTCTCTGCCATAACATAAAGTTTTCAGGTTGCATTTCCTTTTCCTAGGATAAGGCTAGTATCCTCCCCAATACGCTTCTCCGACAGAAGCTGTTGGCACAATATGGGATGTTAGGTTAGTATACGCCGCCCAACATTCGGCGTAACAGAAGACAGGTGGTACCGGCTACTGTTATACGGTAGCTGAGTCATATCTGACCAAGACCTTGTGTTAATATTGTATGTATATTTGTTGGTTTTTAAAGTACCTTGTGGCGCCAGAGGCACAACAGGAATATGGTGCTAAAGTGACATTTGTATGGACAGTTCAAAACTTGAAAGGCCATATTCTTTAAACCAAGCCAACCGTCTTGACTTCTTTTGGCATTCTCACAGCAACATATACAACCAAGTGAACAAAGATGTGGTTAAAGGGTGGGAGTGGTAGTTATTCTTCTGAATCCACCAGGCTGTAATTCGATTCTCGACCTTTCGATCAGCTTTAAGAACCTAAGCTATTGAGTCCATTCTAGGTGCAACTATGTGGTCTCAAGGCATGGTGTCCTCCACATTTGCTAGAGGTTCCAGGTTCAATCCCTAGTAGGGCCTAGCAGTTTTTCACGTGGACTTGGACTTCTAGTGATTTCCCCTGGTCTCTGGGTGGTGAGATCGGTCACCAGTGTGCATTGTTGAGCACGCAAAAAAAAATCCCTTGGCAGTTGGAAATCGAAAAGAGTAGCCTAACGGAGCTTCCCGGGCAAAATTTGGAGTTAAAAAATCCACCTAAAGTATTTCAGGATCCTCGCCGGTGCTACAGAGCCTGTGCACTATGCTGAGCTTCTTTGGACTCTAACTCGAGTTAGAAGTAGACCAGAGCCCTCATGGGTTATTACCCGTGCGCCATAATGTTGAGCCGTTGTTCAAGGCTTAAACCTCAAACTTTCATAAAACTATTACCTGTAACTATCAAATACTTGTCTTGGAATTCTTGATATCGTTAGTTGGTTGCTTGACTGCGTCGTTCGGTTCTCTTCATAGTTTTCTGGAGGTAGCCTTCAGAGCTATTTTAAGTTAGTTCCGTATCCTTTACAGGACGTTGCAGAACCAAACCAAGCATGTTTTGGCTGTTGTGGTTTTTTAGGCAAGTTTACGTCCAGTAGTTTGCCATTGCTTTTGCTTTCTGGACGGTTAGCTTCTCGATACCGCTGTCAAAACCATCGCAAGGCCCGCAGCTGGGATCGAACCCGGCACCCCAGCATTACAAAGCGCGTTTACAAAGCCTAAACCCCAGACGCCTTCCTTTTTTGTGCAACGCATTCGGCAAAGAGCCAAAGGCACGATATTGTGGAGTGACCGGGCAAATCTGGATTAAACTCACTCACTAAAGTGGATCCTCTTGCATTTAGAAGTCACGTTTGTAGTCTTGCTCTGAATATGGATTTACCAACAAACTAAAAGTGTGGTGTCGATAGTGAACCATTCAGTGGTTCTCACGTTGATGGTTCTTGTTCTGCTCCCCTGCTAGAGGGCACATCTACAAACCGCCACTACATCTTTCCTGATAATCTATCAATATGATACAATGCTCCATATGATACATTATTGTCTGTAGTTCAGCTGAAAGAAAATGTGGCTCTTTTGCAATCATAAAACTGTAAAGTAATGATTATAAGAAAAGCTTCAGAAGTTAGCCATATCTTGTCCACTTCAGAAGTTAGCCATAGCTTGTCGACTTCAAATGTAAGCAAACGCTCGTCAACTTCAGAAGTTAGCCACCACACATCGTCTACTTCAAAAGTTAGCCATAGCTTGTCGACTTCAGAAGTTATCCATAGCTCGTCGACTTCAGAAGTTAGCCATAGCTCATCGCCTTCAGATGTAAGCATTTGCTCGTCGACTTCAGAAGTATGCCATATCTCGGCGCCTTAAGAAGTTAGCCATAGCTCGTCGCCTTTAGATGTAAGCCATAGCTCGTCGACTGCAGAAGTTAGCCACAGCTCTACTTTAAAAGTTAGCCATAGCTCGTCGACTTCAAAAGTTTGCCATAGCTCGTCTATTTGCGAAGGTAGCCGTAGCTCGTCTACTTCAGATGTAAGCGAATAGCTCGTCCCCATTAGAAATTAGCAATAGCTCGTCGCCTTTCGATGTAAGCAATAGTTCGTCGATTTCAGAAGTTAGCTCGTCCATCTAATGCCACTTTTTAGGATATTAAACAGAGACTTAAAGATCTGGAGCAGTGACGATGGGTTTAAGACCTTTGCATTATGCTCTAGGTCTGTTCGTTCGAACAGACACCACTATTATTCCATACGTATGTACTAGTGGCATCTTCACGCCCCAACTCTGGTTACGCCATATTGGCCAAACCCTGCCTCCCTCTTCAGACACTCAGTGTACGTCGTTGTGTCTGTTGGCGTCTGCTCCGACCATTTTTTCATGTATACCGATTTTCGTCCACGCGTTGGCGATATAAAGGCTAGTACTTGTCCTATCCATCCTGTTGAACGAAGTTTTTCGCCAGGGACACAGATGCGTATCAGTTATTATGTACATTAGAGTCCTATATAGTCACTTCATAGTTAGAGCATATTTGTGTATGTGTACTGTGTTGTTCTTTATATGCTGATAAAGGCTAATCGCCGCAACGTCCTTTGTTTATTGTGATCGATTTTGTGAAGCTAAAATAAATAATTTGTTCTTTCTTACCTTTTTTTCGCTTCCCTATAATTTCCTACCCCTTTAAAAAGTTTGATTTAGAACGCCGTTCTTTGTTGGCTATATTTGATAGATACCCGTGGTTTCATCGCTATGGGTCAAGAGTTGTGTGCCTTGTGCAAGTGAAATGACGCTATACTTCTAGAGACTTAACCATATGGGATTAAACCGGATGCAGTCACCTTCGATACCAAACAGTCATCATATGTATATAATTCAAGAGGACACATTCTATGATTCTTATTATGTTTTGACAATTATTTTTATATTAATCCTAACGGCTTCATTCCGTTTCAGCTTCGGTCTGTGACTTACCACCGGAGACTGGTAGATGTAGGGCTGCCATAACTAAATACTTTTACAACTCAACATCTGGGTACTGTGAAGAATTTATTTATGGAGGATGCGAGGGCAACGAGAACCGATTTGACAACATCACAGCGTGCAAAGATCAGTGTCCAATACAGCGCATCTTTGTGTGAAACACTAAACACACAGCAACGTTTGATAGCAACTAGGACACCTACAAATGGCCCTAAAGAGATAGCATCAATTCAATAAACATATACATACGACTGTTTACGTTTTTGTTGGTCTGTGAAGTTGTCACTATCGTCATCATTATCATCCCGTAACAGTGCGTGTCGTTGGATCTCCAGTTGCCATTGTTTGTCTGATTAGCTCCCTTTACCTTTGACGGTCAGATGCGATGGACTTCATGGCTGCTTGCCTCAGGTCTGCCCAGTAAGTCAAATTATGCATTCGGTCTATCTTGGTCGAAAGAGGATAATTTCTACTGATGACTGTAGATCCCCGCTGTACTTGCTCCCTGTGAGTTTATTCCTATTGTACGTGGCTAGCCCACAAGACTACCAGGAAAGACTGGTGACTATCGGGAAAGACCTTTTGACACCTATGGAAAGACTGGCCCCCCGGTATCGCCGGGGGGATAAACTGACATCTGGAGACAGATGTCGACTGTGGACCGGGTTGATCACCCCTAACACAGTATAATACCTCCGATTGCGTTAAACCACAAAGAAATATGCTCCCAGGGCCCTCCGAAAGGGGGAGAGAATGAAGGGCCCAATCAAACTGATACCCTCGTTGACGACTTTGCTAGCCCCCGGACTGAGATACTCGCCCAACGTCCGGGCTGGCTCTGTACATGTGGGAAAAGCTTCAAGGGGTTGCATGGTCTGAGAACGCATGCCGGAAGAATGAAATGCGAGGGTGCTCCACGCAGTAAACGCCGTCGCAAAACTACTACTCCTGTGGTAGTTTCTGAGTCGTTAGGGAACGACGGGCAGGGGGAACCCCACTCGCCCGGAGAGGCCCATGACGTCGACTGCGGAGGAGCACCTTTGATGATTTTCTGAAGAAGTGCGCTCCAGAATCAGGTTTCCACCTGCGAGCGAGAAGGTGGTGTGGTGTAAGTTGGAGGCTACATTATGTGAGGTACTTAAACAAACTCTAAACAAGAAGTCGCTAGGCGACAAGCTTACTAAATTTGGTGATGTAATATATGAACACTGCTCCCGCGAGTTCGGGACAGTAGTTAAGGCACAGCCGGGTGCCAAGCAGAATACTAGCAGGAGGCAGAGGGACATTCTGAAGTGTCGGGCAGACAAGAATGCCCTCAGAAAACAGTTCAAAGCCGCTACGGGCAGCGAACGGGAGGGGCTGTACGAAGTGTGGGTGCATTTAAAGAACAAACACAGTGCCCTCTGTCGCGCCGAGCGTTTCTGTAACAACAGACAGACGAAGAACTAAAAGGGAGCGAGAGAAATTCTTTAGGGACCCGTATCAGTTTGCCCGAGGTCTATTCGAGCAACCGAAGTCTGGGACTCTGGTTGTCAGTCAGAAAGAACTTGAGCTACATCTAAGCAAGATGTACTCTGATAAGAAGAGGAGAGAGCCTCTTGATGACAATCCAGAGATCCTTAGCGGACTCAAACAGCCTTCGGTGCCGAAGGTACCATTTAAAACTGGTACCTCCCCTTTGGTCTGAGGTTGAGGACGTTGTGAAAAAAGCCAGCGGCAAGTCTGCCCCAGGTCCGAACGGTGTTCCGTACGTTCTTTACAAGCGTTGCCCGAAAAATCCTAAAAATGCTTTACGTCTTGTTGAGACAAGCGTGGATCCGCAATCACATATGTCCAGAGTGGTCAAAGGCAAATGGGGTCTACATTCCCAAAGAGCAGGACTCGAAGAGTCTTTCCCAATTCAGGCCCATCTCGCTGTTGAATGTTGAGGGTAAGATATTCTTCTCAGTCATGGCTCGCCGGCTCACACAGTATCTGATGACTAACAAGTACATAGATACGAGTGTTCAGAAGGGTGGCATTCCAGGCGTTCCTGGGTGCCTTGAACACGCGACCATGATATGGGAGGCTATCCAGAGAGCCAAGCATGAGAGAACCAATTTGCACGTTATATGGTTGGACTTAGCCAACGCCTACGGGGCAGTCCCCCATAGGCTACTGTGGCGAGCCCTTCGCATGTTTCACGTACCGACACAGATCAGTCAAATGGTCGAGCAATATTTCTCCAAGTTCGCTTTGCGCTTCTCTACCTCGACGTTTACCACGAGGTGGACTGAGTTGCAGATTGGGATAGCTATGGGCTGTACGATCTCACCCATACTGTTTGTCATGGCAATGCAGATCATTTTAGACGGGGCGGCCGGCTACGGACTGGGCCTTCAAATAGGGGATCACTGGTTGCCGCCACTGCGCGCATTTATGGATGACACGACTATTATAACGGGCAGCGAGGAGTCTGCCCGCACGATCCTGAATAGATTGGACGCGGTGGTCCAATGGAGCGGTATGCAGTTCAAACCGCAGAAGTCGAGGAGTCTGTCAATCCATAAGGGCAAAGTGTCGGCGATCAGTTTTACGGTGGCAAGGAACAAGATCCCTACGGTTCTGGAGGAACCGGTGAAGAGTCTCGGTCGCGTTTACGATTCGAAGTTATCTGACAGAGCGGAAGTCCGGCGAATACATGAGTCACTGGCTACAGGCCTGCTCGCGATCGAGCGATGCAGGCTGGTCGGAAAATTCAAGGTATGGTGTCTCCAATTCATGTTGATTCCGAAGCTTCTATGGCCACTGCTAGTCTACGAGGTGACGATGACTGCAGTTGAAGCCATGGAAAAGAAAATCAACACAGCCTTAAGAAAGTGGATTGGTGCACCGCCTTGTCTGACCGACGTGGCTCTGTATTGTAAACAGGCTAAGCTGGTACTTCCGTTCAAGTCAATAACCGAAGAGTTTAAAGTCGGCAAAGTTAGGCTCGCCATGCTTTTGCGCGAGTCCTCAGACCCAAATGTCATCGCTGTCCAGCCCGCTCTAAAGACTGGCCAGAAGTGGAGAGTCCTCGATGCGATTGAATCTGCTCAGAACGCACTAAAATTGAAGGAGGTGATGGGTTACACACAAACCGACCGTCGAGGCCTAGGGCACGGGAAAGTCAATTGGTGGTCAAAGGCCTCAGCCAAAGAGCGCCGAGACATGGTGATACAAACGGTGAGGGACAACGAAAACGAGGTTCGGGTCCAGAAAGCAGCCCAACAGTCGCAGCAGGGCCATTGGGTCAGCCTGGAGAGCGCATTGCCTAGAATACTCACATGGGGTGAGATCTGGCGGATGACCCCGCTGCGACTGAGCTTTATCGTTCGTTCGGCGTACGATGTATTACCGTCCGGTGTCAACATGGTTAAATGGTCTGCGACCAACGATCCGACTTGCCCGTTGTGCAAATCAAAACAAACTCTTGAGCACGTCCTGTCCGCGTGCAGGAAAGCCCTAGGTCAAGGCCGATATACCTGGCGCCACAACAAGGTGCTAAAGGAGTTAGCAGCCGTTGTCGACCAGGCTAGAATGAGGGCTAACGCCAGAGCCAGTTCTAGTATCGCCCCCATTCGTTTCCTCAAGGCTGGGCAGGTTTCGATTGGTAAGGTCAACAAAAACGCATTCGCTCCATCTGCGCTAGACTCTGCGAGGGACTGGTTACTGGCGGTTGATCTGCCAGGACATGAACGGTATCCCGAGTTGATCCGTAAAACCGGCCTGCGACCGGACATCGTTCTCCATTCAGCGCAAAAAACGGCAACTCATCCTGATTGAGTTGACGGTCCCGTTTGAGTCGCGTATGGAGGAGAATCACTTGTACAAGCTCGAAAAGTACAGTGATTTAGCAGCCGGTTTGAGGAGAAACGAGGCTTACACAGTGCGGGTATTTGCCGTCGAAGTGGGAGCGAGAGGCCTCGTTCCCACTTCGCTCTACAATGTGGTGAAAGAATTAGGATTGCGCGGTAATGAACGGAAACGGGCACTCAAAAAACTTGGTGAGGTGGCCGAAAGGGCATCCAGCTGGCTTTGGACGCAGCGCAACAACGTAGGGGACGGGCCTCGGTGAGCTGGTCCGGGTATCTAGTGGAAAAGAGTTTCTCATCCCTTTGAAAGTCCATCGTGTACGAATTGTCTGCCAGTGTTCCTCTGCCAACTGCTAATAAAAGTCCAACATGTGTCGTGTCCGGTAAACCAAAGTAAGCTTGTCGCTCGGTCGTCCAGGCATGCGGACTGTTCTAATTACGCTGTCGCGGCGGCTTCTTATCTCACAGTACCTCCTTCGAAACCACTAAGTCGTCTTGTCTCTGGCCGAAATAATAACACCATCCGGTAATTCTGTGCGGCGGGGAAGCAGCCCTGAGCTTCATGAACTCAGGTGGGCCCACCTCCGAATACGTTTAGGAATCGTGGGCCGAAACGTGTGTCGAAAGAGGATAATTTCTACTGATGACTGTAGATCCCCGCTGTACTTGCTCCCTGTGAGTTTATTCCTATTGGTCTGCCTCTTCTTCTCTTCCCCTCTACTGAACCACTGTTTCTTAGAGGTCAGTTCATTGTGTACATCTCTGTACCATTGTTTGAGACTGTCTGTTTGCCTAAGTGCGTTCAAGAATGAAAGATTGCATAATAAATTAGAGCGAATTTATTTAAATTGTTACCGTCACCAGTCTCTCTCTCTCTCTCTCTCTCTCTCTCTCTCTCTCTCTCTCTCTCTCTCTCTCTCTCTCTCTCTCTCTCTCTGTCTCTGTATCTCTGTGTGTTTGTCTCTCTCTCCCCTCTGCCCATACATATCACTCTCTCTTTCTGTATCAATTGTTTTCTACCTTTGTGTGTGTGTGTGTGTGTATATATATATATATATATATATATATATATATATATATATAGATATGCATATGGTAGCATTGAAAAGAAGCGATCATACATCACTGATCCTTTAGATTTTTTTTTAAATTTCAAAGCATTATTTATTGTATTCTGTTAGACATCTTTTGTGACGTGCTTGCTTGGCTGGTAGTGTGTCTATTCTTCTCATCATTACAAAAAGGGTGCCCACGTTTTCATACATCGATTTCTTGAATGAGAGCTTTGCATTCACCCCCTCACCCTCCTTTTTCCCCTCCCCATT